CGCACTGCTGCTGCAGCGCACGCACGGCCGCGAGCGCCGCCGCGCCGCCCTTGCACTGCGCCAACTCCGCTTCCGTGGCCGCGTCGAACTCTGTGTGCGCCGCGCCGCCACTTACGCACGTCTTGCAGGCGCTGCTGCAACGCGGCCAGGAAGCCGCGAATACTCTCGGTCGCCCGCAACATGCTTCTGCGCGCCGCCGGCGTCGATCGCCCGTAAATACAAAAAATGCGCGCTAATAAAAATGCGCTACAAGTCGCCCACCAAGTCCGCGAACTTGGCGCCACTCGCGAGCCGCGCGCCGTGCGCGACCAGCGGCGCGCTGAGGTCGCGCAAAAAGAACCGGTACGCACGTAGCAGCGAAAGCTCGCCGAGCTCCGCCGGCGACTGCCCGAAGCGAAACTCGTAGCGTACGGGGCGCTCAAGCAGCGCCGCATGCGGCGAGTGCTGCAGCTGCTCGAACACGCGGTCCAGCAGCAACAGCGTCGTGCGACAGACGGCGACGCTCGCGAGACTCAGCCGCACGATCAGCAAGTGCAGAATCTGCAAACAAAGCTCCAGCGCGACCAGCGCGCTCTCGAGCGCCGCGGGCTTCTCCGCCACGGCAGCGCCGCTCGCGAAGAACGCGCTGACCTGCTGCAGCAGTACCTCGACGAAGTCGCGGTCAATCAGCAGCGTGTCGATCAACTTGTATTTCGCCGCGCAGTTCAGCACGAGCAGCGTGAGCGCGCCCGTCTCCAGCGAGATCAGCTTGAAGTCGAGACTCACGTCGCTGCGCGGCACGGCGTCGAACTTCAAGTACGTCGCACTGATGAGCCAAATGCTGACAACCTCCTTTAGGTTATGAACTAGTTGGTACTTGTCGATGGCCGACAGAAGCACCATGAAGCACTCCAGGTACAGGTGTGACGACTCGACGGGCACGTCCGTCTTCAGCGCGAGTTGGTAGCCCTTCTCGGCGGAGTCGTAAATGCTGCGCAGCAGCCGCCGGCTCGTGCACAGCGCGACGGTCTCCTTGTACTCGTTCTGCGTAATCAACAAGACGATTTTGCGAATTTCCTCCAAAATTTTGTGGTTCGGGCTCACGCTCAGCAGGATCATCGTCGGCCGGCTGATTTGCTCGCCTTTGCAAAACGCGCTCTCCTCGCGCGAGTCTTTCGCCATGGCGTTCGTGAAGTACAACAGCTCCTGAATCGCGAGCTTCATGCGCGTAACCGCCGAGCCGATCTCCGACAGCACCGCGTAGATACCGCCGTTCTCGTCGCGCTTCTTGGCCGGCTCGCGCGCCTGCGCCTCCGGCGCGCCGGCGCGCCCATTCCAGGCGAGCACCTTGTGCACGACCGCGGCGCAGCCTGAGAAGTACACGTCCAGCTGTTTCTCGGAAAGCTGCCCCGAGAACTGCAGCGCGCTAGGCAAGTTCCGCGGCCAGCGCGGGTGCGCAAACGCCGCGTGGTCCACAAAGCGCTCGCCCTTTTGCGCCATCGCGGCGCGCGCCTTGTAGTCCTCCGCGAGCGCCTCGTGCACCATCGCGACCGTCTGCTCCGAGACCAGCGTCTCGATGAACGAGACCGCGAGCCCGACGTTCTCGTTCGCCACGTTCAGCGCCGCCTGGTCGATCGCTGCCTCCGCGCTGCGGTCGTTCGAGCAGTCGTTGGCGAACCTCTTCACCGGCCGAGCCAGATTGCTGAAGTTCTGCATGATCGCGGAACGCAAACTGTTGCGGCTCGCTATACTAACTATACTGGCCGTGATCATCTTCGCGAAACTGGCCGCCGCGCGGCTCATCGAGCTCTCGCTCGGTTCCGCTGCGAAGTCCTTGCGAATCATCATGACCGTCGTCTGCACCGCGATGCCGCACGTTTTCTCCTTCACCGTGCCCACGAGGTCCAAAATTGCCTTCTGCAGCGCCATCGGCACCGCGATGCGCAACTCCGGGTAGCGCTGAAACACGGCCAGCGAAGAGTTGACAACGGCGTGGGCCGCGAGCGCGTTCAGCAACTGCCCGCGTTGCGCAAAGCGCTTCGTCTCCGGCTCCGCCTGCGGCGCGCCGGGGAACGCCGCCGCTGCGAACGGCTCCTCGCGCTGCAGCAGCTTTTTGTACGCTAGCTCGGGGTCCGCGTCCGCGATCTTCGCGGGCGCGGGCGCCTCCGCGCGCCGCGAACTGTACGCGTACAAGTCAATGTTCAGCTCCTGGAACAAACTTTCGACACAGCGCGCCGCGTAGCGGTTGAGGTCCGCCGCAAAGTAGTTGCTCGCCAAAATCGCGTACAAACTCGAGTTCCAGCTGTTCTCGCGCTTGAACATCGTGCTCAGCGACTGCATGGCCAGACAGTTGCACGTAAAGATGACGAGCACCGCGAACAACTCCTTGTTCTCCGCGTTCAGCAGCAGGTGCTTCAGGTCCAAGTAGCGCGACTGCAGCGGGCGGTCTTGAGCCAAAGAGATCAAGCCGACCCAGCGGCCCAAGTTCGACATGCACTTGATGTAAAACGCGTGCGTCGAGTTGCCCACCGCAATCTTCAACAGCGTCAGCACTACGCAGCAGGAAGCCACAGTCATGTCTGCCCCGAAGCGCTCGCTTTTGAAAAACTTCGTCAAGTTGAGCAGCGTTGGATGCGAATCCAAGTCCGGCATCGCAAAGCGGATCACCAGCAAGTGCGCAAGCCACCGGTAGTAGCTCGGCCCGACCAGCGCCGACAACTGGCGCGCGGCGGACGCAACCAGAGCGGAATCCAGCGAACCAAGCACCGCCTCCACGTGGGAGATCATCGCCTGCGACGGCTTCGCAACCTCCGCGTAGAACTCGCTCTTGCGCAGCAAATCGTAGATAAAGCCGAGCGCCTTTTCCTTCAACCCGAGCAGAACCACGGGCTCCCGCGCGTCCGCGACAGCAAAATCGGCGCACTTGGCGCGTGGCGCGTCCGTGAAGTTCACGACGCCCGCACCCTCCGCCAGGCTGCACTTTTCCGGAATCGTCATCGCGAGGGTCAGCCGCGGGAACTGCAGCGGCAAAATCAGTTTTCGCAGCTTCACAGGGTCCACCAGCGCCTCTTCGCGGTACGGCTCCGGAATCATTTCGAAGACTGCCTCCAAGTTCGCGCGCACGCCGCCGAGCTTGTTCGCCAGTGCAGTGTTCTCGAGAACGCTCTTCAAAGTTAAGGGACTTATGATGATCGAAGGCAAGAAGTGTTGCAGCAGCAACAGACCGAATCGGAACATGCGGCTGTCCGGCGGTTCCGCGAGCGCAGTGTGCAGCGTTTTTAGTATCAGCGCCGTGACCAACGTGTTCGACAGCGTAACGTTTTTCCGCAACAACGTGCCGAGCAGCACCGCCGTCATCGTCAGTTCTCGCTCAGGGTACAGTGGCAAGTAGACCAACTCTTTCAGCACCATTCGCATCAGTCGCAGGAACAAACAGTAGACATCCGAGTTCGGACAGCTCGTCGACAAACAACGCAAGAACTCGACAATCTGCTGCAGCGAAATTTTCTCCTGATAGTACAACGCAAAGATACGCTCTTCCGGGTCCACTGCGAGAGCCGGCGCGTCCAGCGCCGCTGCGGAAGTGGCAGCCGGCGTCGGCGCTACGCGCGACTGGTCGGCCGCACCGGCGTCGCCGAGCGCGCCAAATTCGTGCGCCGCGGCTGGCTCAGCAGGCGGCGCCGCGCTCTTTCGCTGCAACGGCGCGCCATACCGCTTCTGAAAGCTCTTCTCTAGCTTGGCAAACAGCCCCGACAGCAGCTTGCGCTTGACGCTGAGCTCCGGCGCAGCAAACACGTCAGAGTTCAGAATCTCGTTGACTGTCTCGAAGTAGAACGCGGCCGCCGCGTAGCGCCGCTCCGCAGCCAAGCTCTCCTGCAACACGGTGCCGATTTTGCGCACGAGCGCCTCGACGTCGGCGCCGTAACTGCGAAAGCGCTTCTTCACTACAGAAAGCAGAGTCTCAGGCAGTGCAATGCCACTGCCATCGTTCGCCTCGAACAAGCAGCCGAGAAAGTGCAAGTACTTCAGATTCAGTGGCGCCGAGCACAGCAGCTTCGCCGCCAGCGGCGCGCCCAACTCCGTCTTGCAGCGCTGCAGCGCGCCGCAGTACTCGCTGAGCAAACTGTCAGGAACTATTTCGAGTGGCAAGTAAGCGTACTTCGCAGGCGGCAGCGCGCGCGCAGCGACGTAATACTGCGTAAACGCGCGCGCCACGCTGTCCGCGTCCTGCTCGTCCAGTTCGTTGAGGTACGGCTGCGATAGGTCGTCCCAGTTCTGCAGCACGGTCCACGACAGCATCAGCGCCTTCCACAGCGCAAAGTTCTCACCCAACCGCAGTTGATCAACGCTGCGGTCGAGCAACGTTTTGTAAACTTCGTCCCAAAACGTGAAGGGTCGCAGAATGGAGAACAAAATTGCGGCGCCGCAGAGTCCTGCTGCAGTTTTCGCAACAGCCTTCCGCGGACAGTGCAGTTCTTGCAAAAAGACTTCGCAGATCGCGGCGTCAGAGAGCGCAGTCAGCGCGTCCGAGGCCTGCACAAACTGCAAAATCTTGCAGATGCACAAACGCAGACAGTCCGGCCTGTCCAAGTCTGCGAACGAAAGGTCTCGCAGCGCGGTGTACAACGCGGACTCGCGCCCGCATTCGGCCATGTGCCCTCGAGAGAAATATTTTAATACTTTTATTTACCTGAATAACTGGGCAATTCGTCGCAAACAAAAGTCAGATCCGCGCAAACAGCTTCTTCCTTCGACCCATGGCTGACGCAGAGTTACTCCAGCCGTTCGAAGACGTTCTGAGCCAGTGGGAAAAGCAGCTTGCGCATCTCGACAAGGCGTTCAGCAAGTACAGCGGCCTGCTGCAGTCAATCGACGTGCAGCTGTTCGAGTTCGGCAGTAAGTGACCGCGGAGCGGACGCAGAAAGTTTTTCGAACTACCAGGCGCAGCTGCAGTTAATTGAACAGCAGGAGGAAGACATCATTGGTCAGGTGTCCTTCCTCGAGGCGCAGCAGAGCAATCTCTGCGACTCGCTCGGCGACATCGAGTCGCGGCTCGCCACCACCTACGGCAGCGTGATCGACCTGCACAGCAACGACGTGCTGACCGACGAAGCTTACGCGCTCGCCTCGAAACTCGACGACGTCGAAAATTCGACTGCGCGGCTCGCGCAAACGCTCAAGGAAGTGGAAAGCGGCTCGAACAACGTCGGCGTGTTCCGCATCGCGCGCACCATCCAGCGGCACGAAGAAATGCTCAAAATTATTTCGAAAATTCTCGAGCCCGAAAACAGTAAATCTTCTTGAGCGCGCGTTGCACAGAAATGCGGAAAACCCGCATTGGCGTTTTTTTCGACCCCGCGCGCCATGTGATCGACGAGCTTCTGGCTACGTATGACTTCGTGTTCTTCGCGTGCGACGAGGGCGCCGCCGTGCTCAACCGGCTGGACGCGCCATTCGAACCGCCCAGCTTCAGCTTCGCGCAGCGCGAGTCGCTCGTGCTGCTCGCGCAGCCGCCGCAGCTCTCGCGGGGTCTACTTCGGCTCGCCGAGTACCACGGGCTGAAAGGCGTCGCAGCGATCGCCGCCTCCGCCACAGACCTCGACCACGCCCTACGCTCTGTGCTCGCGCCCCAACTGCTCGGCGTCATAGTGTCCGCACAGCTGCTCGCGGTGCCGCGCCTGTACGCAGAGCTCAAGCGCAGCAACGTTCGCGTGCTCCTGCACTGCGCACTGCCCGCAGTCGCTACGAGCGTCAAAGCACCGTTGCTGTCGCTGAACCTCGTGGGCTGCGTTGTAGAGTTCCCCGCGCCGCTTGCCAGCGCCGGTGTGCCGCAGAGTGCCGACCGCGATGCAGTCGCCCGGGCGACAGAGCGCTACTCGCTTTGCGCATTCGCCGCCAGGCTGCTCGGCACACTCGACGTGCCGCTGATCTTGGCCAATGCGCAGCTCACGCCGGCAGAACTGCTATGCGCGCGCGCGAACTCCAAACGCACGAACTTCGCCGACCGCCTGCAGCTTCCGCTCGACCCTGCAAACTCGAGGCTCAGCCACTGGCATTACGCACAGATGCTGCAGCACTCCGCGAAGTACGCCGCTTACGCCATCGCAATCCTAGATCTGCTGCGCAATCGCGCGCACTCGCGAACGCGGCTCGTGTACTACGGCTGCGGCGTAGGGGGCATTCTCTACACGCTGCTGCCGCTGCTCGAACGGGAAGGCTTGCTGCCGTCCGCGGCGCACAGCGAAGCGTCTGTCGAGAGCGTCCTGCTCTTCGACCACAACGCGCTCGCTCTGGTTGCGCTGCAAAAGCAGCTGCACCTTCCGCACGGCCTGCTGCGCCGCTTTCGGCACGTTGTGCGGATTGCGCCTGAACTTGCAGCGCACCCCGAGCTGCTCAGCGACGCGCTGGTTTTTTCAGAAATGCTCGGCTCGATGGGCTGCAACGAGTTCTACGTTGAGGTACTCCAGACACTCGCGCTGCGCGCAAATCCGCGTCCAGTGTTCGTGCCGAACTGCGTGCGCTACAACTTCCAGCTCATCTCCAGTGGCGCGTTGCGCGCCAAAATGGACGCGGCCGACGAAAACTGCATTTACGTCTGCAACGCGCAGAAAGTGCGTGCGCTGTCCGAGGTCGTTAGCGCGCCAGCGCTAGACAAGGAACACTGGCTGTTCGCGCTCGACCAGCTCCCGGAGCAGCTGCGGGAAAGCGTCGGCCAGCTCGGCAGCACGGAAGACGGCAATCTATTACGCCGCTGTTACAGAGCGGTGCGGTTCGCTGTCCGTGCGACAGACGTCGTAGACGGCGTGATCGTCACTTTCGACGCGGGCGTCGACGACTGCTTTTTCCTGAGCGAGGCGCGTCGCGAAACCAAGAGTTCGTGGTTTCCCGCGCTGCTGCCGTTGCGCCGCACGCAGCTAACGGCTGGCGACAATTTTTTGTTACACTTCGTGCGGTTATCCTACGAACATATTGTGCGGTATCTATGGCAATACGAAAACAAAAAAACTTTTGGACATATGCACAGCAGATGCTACCGGATCGGCGAAAAAAAAAATTTGCTCTAGCCGTACTGACAATGACGACTTTCACTTGCTGCTAAAAATAGCCTTAATAATTCTATAAAACGCTGCAGAGCGAAGCCCGCTCATTTCAAGGGGTTTCGCTTCACAACATCTGCGCCTGACGCGCGTGGCGCTGTTTGCGGCAAAGTACTAGCCGCAGCATTCGCTTTAGCGTTCGCCTCAGCATTCGGTTTGGCGTTCGTTTTGGCGTCCGCTACAACATTCCCTCTGGCGTTCGCAGTGGCGTTCGTCGCAGCCCCCGCGGCGAGTTTGCTAACCGCAGCGTCCAACTTCTTGTCCACAGCTTGCACAAAACGTTTCTTCGCCTGCTCCTCGCGCTGCCGCGCGGCGCACAGGCGCTGATCGACTAGCCCCACCGCTGCAGCGAGCGAGAACGCGAGCAAAATCGAACAAAACATCCCCCACCGAGATGCCAAAATTTTTGACATTTTTTCTTTGGTCTCTTCGTCGTTCCAGTTGAAGCGCAGACCCACCAAGAAATCCTTGCCGCGCGTGGCGTACTCGTGCAGCGAGAAACTCAGACAGAAGTTCTTCACAAAATTTATCGCTAAGTGGTAGGCGTGCAACAGCGCGGAGTGGCAGTTGATCAGCGCGACGGCCGCGCTGTGGATGTGCGACTTGCTGTTCAGCAGCAGCTGCAGCAAGAAGCTGTCGTGCTTCTCTGCGTCGAAGAATGAAGAAACCGACGAGAACCAGTGCGCAGCGCCGCTCGTCTCCGCGGCAGACGCTTGGCTCGCCGCGGCGAACTGCGTCAGCGCAACTAGCGCAAGGCAGCTCTCGAAAAGATGCGCGTGCGGCATCAGCGAATTTTCACGCCGAACGCTGCGATTAAGATGAAGAAAAAAGACAGAACAAATATTTCTATTACCCTTGTCTTATGAAGAGCAGCGCCGCAGCTTCGAGCAAATTATCCGGCTCCAAAACCGTCATCGACTGCTCCATCCCCGCGGCAGACAATCTGATTGACCCGGCCGAGCTCGAACAATTCCTGCATGACAACATCAAGGTCGACGGCAAAACCGGCAACTTCGAGCAGAAAACCGCCGACGGCTCCGTCCGCAAGCGCGTGCAGGTTTTGCGCGAGAACCACAAGATCATTATCGAAGACTCCACAGGACTCAACAAGCGCACGATCAAGTTCTTGACGAAGCGCTACATCGCCAAGTGCATGCTGCGCGACTACCTACGCATCGTCGCGCGCTCGCCGGACTCTTACGTAATTTCCTACTTCCGCGCGCCCACCGCCAAAATAGCCGCGTAGTGCGCGGCAGCCGCGCTGCGCGTTTCGGAATATTTTAATTTTCAGAAAACTCCTTGACTGTTTGCAGCGACCGCGACGACTCGGCGAGCATGGCAGAGCGTCAGACCGAGACCACCCTCGACGCGATTCTCGGCTCTACGCGGGCGGGCGCGGCGCGTGAAGGCGCGCGCGAATCTGTGCGCGTCGCGCCGCGCGTGCCGCGGCGCGAGCACGCAGCCAAGTTCAGCCGCGTGCTGCGCGCCGCGCCAAGCAAAGCGAGCGCCGGTCTGAAGCACGCTGCGCGCCCGAAGTTCGCGCCACGCTCTGCGGCCGCGCCGCGCGCACTGAGCCCGGCGGTCCTGCAGCTCAAGGCCGAAGAGCACATCGTGCGCGGACTCGCGATGGAAGAAGACGCTGACTCCTTAACCGTATTTTTTTTAAAGACGCCGCTCGTAGTGATCTCGAAGAAGACGGGCGCCATCACTTTGCATTCCAATGGATACACAACTCTGGCAACGCGAAACGCCTTATGCTTCGTGCTTAAGCCGCTGGGAATGTCGGTGACCAACGAGCGCGCCGCGCGCGATGAGTGGTGCGTGGTCGAGCCGCCCACCTTCTCGCAGCGCTTCGTCGACGGCATGGAGATCGCGCAGACCGTGACGCCAAACCGCGCAAAAATCCTTGCGCGCGCCTCGATCGTCAAGCAGTACGTGGCGCAAAAATTGACTGCGGTCTGAGAGCGCGGCGCCGCTACGCGTGGCGCTCCATCACGCCGTCGAGCACCGACGAGGGGCCCAGCCCAATGTCGCCGACGCGCGCCATTACGCCGCCTGACAACGGCAGCCCCATGTCCAAACTCGGGGACAAGTCGCCCGAGTTGCGCAGCGTGAGCAGCTCCTGCTCCGTAAATTTGTTGTTGCGCGGAATCACGCCGCCGCCGGCGATGGTCGCCTTGATTAGCGTGTCGAGCTCGTCGTCGCTACGGATCGCGAACTGCAGGTGGCGCGGCGTGATGCGTTTCTGCTTGCAGTCTTTTGACGCGTTGCCCGCGAGTTCGAGCACCTCCGCGGTGATGTACTCGAGAATCGCGGTGATGTACACCGCGGCGGTGTTGCCGACGCGGCCCTCCGACGGGATGCCCGCCTTCAGC